CGCGAAATTCAAAACAAACAAACAAACCAATACGTTCATGGATCAATCTAATGCCTGACAAAGATACACTAATTTAAGACTAAGATTTTTGCAATGATAGATAATAATAATAATTTAATTTTCTAGTTAATAGCTGCTAAAATTATTTTAACACAAATGATATATTAGTTAAAATTTTCACACATTGACTAAAAAGTTTGAATGGGTGTTCCACTTGGAAATATTTAATTTCAGTACTAACGCTTTTCGAGTATAATTCTGTCACCTGATAAAAGTGTATTATTCTATACAGTTAATGTTCATCTGGCGAAGATACTAAGCCATATAAATCTCAGTTTGAATAAATAGCACAGGGGTGGAGGAGCGAAACGTATTGAATAACATGAGGATCTCAAACCTACTTTTCACCATTTTACTTTGACTGTACGGAGCTATAGTTGTCAAAGTAAATTATACTTAGTCTTCTATTTTCTTATAGTCAGACTGCATAAATAGTAAATAAATAAATTTGGTTTTAATATTTTATTTTTTCTGATATGGTCATGAAAAATTAATTTTGTATATGAATTATGGAAAGTTTTGGGACATCTTTATAAACTATTAAACTCCAGGTTTGTTAAACCAGCCTAATAAATACTGTTTTTCATTGTGATTGATTGTCATTTTCTTAATTGTTTACTACGTTATATAGCTGAAAGTTATTTAATCTTGCCTTCTAAGTTGTGGCCAATCAAATAATTAAATAACAACCAGTGTTATGTTATTGTATAAAACTAAGTAATCCAAATGAATGCTAATAACTTAATTGACAAGATAAATCTCCTGTAAAGGTATTTCTGGGTTTATTGCAATATCACCCATTCAATAAACGCACAGACAATTTCTACAGCCTAGTGTCTAGGCACTTTAACGAAAGTTAGGGTTCATTCATAATTACCAGATTTTTTTATCATCGGAATATTGCTCTTTAATTTTCATTATATATATATATATATATATATACATAC